TATATATACTTGATAAAGTAAATGCATTTGGCGAATCAAATCAAGTGTCGATTCTTTGGGTACCGGGACATACTAGCGTACGCGGGAACGAATACGCAGACAAACTAGCCAGGAAAGGAGCACCCACACCGATAATGGGGCCGAAACCGTTTGTGGACTAGGATATAATATGTTCCTTTCTCTCATAAAAATAAAGAAATCCTAACGGGGCACTGTAAACTAAAATACAACCTTACAATACTCGATATACTTATGGCTGCAAACTGTGAATTCTGCGAAGAGAATAAAGATCCACATATGTGCTGTAAGAATGCCCTGTGCTATTGCAGAAACGGAATTGACTCCTGTGAATATATGTATATTTTTAAGAAAGAGACAATAAAACTTTGTAAAGTAAATTCTATACTACTTTTCATTGACGCAACAGGGCTTAGAGACCTACTCTAAACCCAGATGGGGGCACAATAGACCAGATGGTCGCAGTGCCACATCCCTTAACAATAATAATAATATAATATATAATAATAATAATATAATATATAGTAATAATAATATATATATATATATATATATATATATATATATATATATATTTATAATTTAAATGAAAACAAACAAATTAACTTAAACAAACATAGTTATGTTTAAGAACATAAATATCCTAAGATGTTAGCTGAAGGTATTATTAATATAAGACCTAATAAAAATGTTTTAATGCTAATTTTTTCTTGCCGAAAGTGAAGCGTCTTTATGACGAGATGAAACTTTTTAAAAGTTAGACGGATTCGAATAGCAAAGAAAGGACAAAGACATAAATTTTTTATTTTTAATTTATTGAAATTTGGCTGACCATACAACGCTGTTTCGAGTATTGCCAAGTACTCATCATCAGTGGTCTTAGGAAGTAACGGAATTTTTTTAAAATTAGTTTATAGTCCGTATATAATTTGTTTGGACTGCAAGTGCCAGGATTGGAACTCTTGCCTGTCAAATTAGAAGCGATGACTAATCGTGTTTATCTATAAGTAGCCAAGGCTGCACAAACTATCAATGCTCAAGTTCCAGGTTTTATATTAAGAAGATTCGAGACTTTTGAATGATTCTCCATATCACATGAATAATACTAGTATTAATGAAAGAGAATGAGTTGCAAAGTAGTAAGAAATAAAATTGTACGGGTAATAGAAAGAATACATTTAAATATTAACACTGCTGTATCCTTCAGAACGGATATAGGAGTTGAAATTCACACAACTGTGGGAACCTCAGTATATATTCTAATTCATTTGTAATTTAATAAGTTCCATATAAGTTCATATAAATGGGCAGTGCCTAAAATGGTAGGCTAAAACCAAGACTCGTATTTGATTTAAAAGATTATAATTAATCAATGATTACAAACCGTTACAAACCGTTAAATTGTAATGATTACAGAATAATTACAGATGTAATTCTTGAACTGAAAGAATTCTTTAAAAAAAAATTATCAACTACAGATTTAGAATGTGGCTTCCATAAAATATTAATGAAAGAGGAAGATATTGAAACAATGGCTTTCTCAGTTAATCATGGAAAAAATGCACTAAATATATTTCAAGGAATTATGGATAACATTTTAAAAGATTTTATTGATAAATTTTTTCATGTTTACATTGACTATAATGACCTAAATGATGATAAAAATCATTTTTAGTTAATAGTTGAAACTTTATAAGTTATCAAACAATCAGCTCAGTATATTAATTATACTAAATCAAGCTCTACTAGGACGCTCAATGTAATGAGGTATCCATTAAAATTTACATTAATGAAATTACTATTCTCAGTGCATAAAGCTTTAGGAACTTAAAAATTTGATATTCGACGACGCTAGGGCTTAATATAATTCTATCAACTTTTCCGAGTTGTATAAATCAAATTACATATGACCTTGCTTCAATGTTTGCCACAAGGCATTGAAGTGACAATAATGGATAGCGGCACAAAGGCCGGATTTATGGCATTCTACCATCTTTACAACTCTACTTTAATATTTTAAATTTAAGTTTTCTCCATCCTACTAGTCTGTTCCTTCACTGCCAACAAGGGCTTTCAGAAAAAAGAATATCTATCTTCTCAAAGAGAGTTGGTAACAATAAAGCTACATTAGCTGCCTGTTTTTTGGTTATCGCACCTACATTGATTAGTAGGCAATCCATCGCCTTATATTATGTAGCAGTTCACAGGTACTCTGTTTTGGGTCCACACCACAATACATACAGTAGCTTACCCTAGTTTTAATATGAAACATTATTAACTAGTGTAATATTTTGTTTAATATAATAGTATAAAATATTTGTTTCAAATTAATATGTGAATAAATGAATTTTGAATATGTGAATGCTTGTGCGTATATAATTGGAAGTAATCTAGCTAAAGACGACCAATACTCCAGTAAACACAAAACACAAATACCTTACGAGTATGACTTCACAGAACCTTTTAAAAAAATTGGCCATTTATTTTAAAATATCAAACAGTTTTTGTATTAAATTTATATTTAATAATTTTTATATTTACATAAATAATATTAATCTAGTTTATATTTAATTTTAGATTACTTTAAATTAATTATTGTGGTTTTCAAAATGGCACTGTAAGTATTAAATTAAAAATTTATTTTATAAATGAATAATATATAATGAAAGGTAAATTTTATATTTCTTATTTAATAGTTTTGTCGTTATATATGTGCTTTTATCTTAGAAATGGTTAGAGCAATTATAACTGAATAAGTTTACATTTATGCATTTATTTTAAAAAAAATTTTTCTATATAAGTTAGACAATTTTATAATTAATGGTATTCAATTATATTCATTGTGAATTAAAGCTTAAAAATTCTTCCAACTGCACTGACATAAATTGGGTTTAATAAAAAACAAAGGACCATTCAGTTTCAATAATTTAAATAGTGTGAGACATATTCAAAAAGACTTCATTTTGGAATACGGAAAGACTGCAAATTTGGGATTAGCACCATATTGAGTTGAGATATCGATATATATATATTTTAGTTAATAAATTTTTGATGCTGCTTTAAACATTTTTTTATCCATAATGAATATGTCATTTAAATGACATTAAAAATCATGTAATATTAAAAAAACACATTAAATATATATATATATAATGAGATATTATACTATTATCCAGCGTCCACATTAGCAAGACTTTGGCAAAGTTTTATATACACTTTTACTTCTTTACTAACACAAACAAAACTCGAAAATACTATGTATTTGCTCTCGAACATAAAAAGCTTACAAAAGTCTGACCAGTGTAAACGCCAAACTAGAACAGTCTGAGTGTCTACACAGGCTTGACTTTGTTAAGATTTTAGTGATTGAATGCAACTACACATTGTTTTCGATTTTCGCTTGCTAAGAGAAATTTGTAGGTGTTAGTGTTAGTGTCTGTAAAAATATTACTAAAAGTCTAGCCAAGATAGACACAAAGTTAAGTATGTCTATGAGTCAGTTTAAAGTTATCTTGAAATCACTATATATTTGATATATATATAAGATGCAAAATTCATCGAATAAATTGTTACAATTCATTTTGAAGTTATAATGCAATTTACAGTACTATTGTTTTATTTAAATTGATTTATAAAAGTTACTTTTGAAGCCTTAATTATTACAACGATCGTTTTTTTCAAAGACTATTATCATTCACAATTTGTATTGACAATATTGCAATTCATTTGTAAATTATATATATACATATTGTAGCTACAAAACTGAACATACATAAATGTTAAAATAAAAATTTAGTCCGAAAGTTAAATAAAAATATTATACATTTATTAACTGACTTAGAACTAATTATAATGTGTTTTAAATAATCATAAAATGTTTTGTTTATTACGAAATGTGTATTTACAACAGTAAATTTTAATTCAAGATACATACACGCTATATAATTTTAATAAAAAGTTAATTATATAAATGTGTTTAATATTTTTACAAGTATACATTATTCGTTACATATGATTGCGATTATTATTATTTTAATATATATATTTTTTAAAAATTTTTCCCTAGCAAATTTATATAATATAAACAAAAATAGTAAAGCTCATTAGACAAGATGATAAGAAAACATTTACAAAATGAATTAAACTTAAAAAAAATTTAATTTAAAGTGTAGCTAATATTCTAGTAAATCCTAAGCAGGCGGAAACAATTGTCTGACCAACGCCCCAAACCATAGCATATATAGGTGACATTGGCAAACTTGAAGCGCGATGTACAAACGCAATGACCGCACTGCTTATGATGCCACTCATAGCCGGCGATAGAAAACCCATCACTAATATCAAAATTGAAAAGAAACGTCCGAATTTATGTTTTCGCAAGGTAACAAAAGCGACTAACGCCGCGCATGTGTGTATGAAAATTGACGAAAAGAGAGCCCATAGAAATACATGATACCACATTTCGCGAAATGTGTTCAGTCGATTTTGTGAGCGCAAGCCCATAACATCTGCGATCGTATCCAATTCATCAGAGTCATCTGCGTAGGATAACATTACAAGTTGCCGCATGTAAATATTCCTGATTGCTAGAAATCTATTGCTTTTAGGTTTTTGTAGCTGATTTTATTTTAGTATTTGGACTTTATGTAGTATTTCGCAATTATTTTATATATCACATTTAAATTAATCTAAAGATGTACTTTTTTTCAAATGCTTTTGTGCAATTTTTAATTAATTGTTTGACTTAGAAATAACTTTTATTTACAAATATTTTCTCGCTGAGACGTCTTTGTGTCCAGTAATTATCAGGAAATCCCTTTAATATTCATATATAGTTGATCTAAAATCAAAAAATAATTTATAAGTTATAAATATTTATTATATTTTAATAATTGTTATATATCATATTCATTTAGGATTTCCCTAATTTAGTTTAATCTAATATAAATTAAATATAGTATTAAAAAGTGTAAATTTCGTCGATATAAAGTGTAAATTTTAAATAGCATAATATACGAGTATGTATATTATCATTTAAATTATATATTCCCTAATTATATGTGTATTTAAGTTGTGAAATTAATAATTATTAAATATAATTAATAAACGATGTAATTTTAATAAATTAAATGCTTAAGCAAATTTTAAAGTAAACTCTCTTAGTGAAAACATTGAAGAATCTTTTTACAATTTAAAAAAAATTAAATTACTTACTTATATATTAATTTACCATTTTCCTTAGTTTAACAAAAACTACTGAATGAAAACTCAAATGAGTTTTCATTATTTATTTTTATAATTGCTTAAAGTCCATTTCACTTTTTTAGCTTGCTCAGCATTGCATCAAAAAATCGACCCAATTCCTCTAGGGTGTTACTTTATTTATTTTTAATATTATTTTGTTTAGTTCATTTCAATTACAAACAAATTTCTTGTTTCCTTTTGCTGAAGTTTGGCAAGTATTATATTACGCCCATTTATTGATATATATGACATATATTTTTACAACTTTGCTTTATTTTCATTATGAATTGATTTTATTTACGAAATAACCTTTGACATTTGATAAAATTTCAGCTGTGCACAGATGTCAAAATTAACTGTCAAAATATGTTAATGCTACCAGACTATTTTTGTAAATCAGTCATATAAATATAAAGTCTATTCGAGTGAAGTGATCGTGGTAATATCACGAGGTCAGAAGTATTTAATAAAATCTTTGTTTTTATTAATTGATATATAAAATGTATATAAATAATTTGATATATTAAAAATGTACTTAATTTTTTTGTGTGATATATTATTAAGTGAAGTTTAAAAAACTTTTAAAAATTTTATCAGCTGTATAAATGAGCTCATTATATTGGGAACGCTTACTCATTAATATAAATGAGCAAGTGCTTAATTGAGACAGTGAGAATGTACCATAAAATCCAAATAAACAATTTCTTAAATTTTAATATTTAACATACCCAATCAAAAAATAAAAAGTATTAAAATAAAATTATTAATAAAAAAATATATTATTCTTAGAAAACTTACTTAAAAACGTAATTACAAAAACAAATAAGAAATAAAATCAAGTTAAGATGAGTAACAGGTTTTATACAGAGCTAATTATGCTAATTCATTCCCTAATCTGAGCCGAACAAATAAAAATGTTTTGATATATACAAATTGCAAAATCTCATTACTTCTGCTGCGTGAATAGGATATAGCAAATAGCAGACGCGTTGTAGTGCAATCGACTGCGTGCAGCAATTCGGTTGCCGTACTTGACAAATTAATACAAGAAATAACACTAGTAATTTTACCAATCAAATTTTTCTTCAGTTGATTAATAACTCGATTGTGAATGTTCGCCCACAACTTTATATTGCATTTATAATGGTCGCAAATGACACATTTTAAATTATTCATTTCAAACTTTTTACATTCGTTCAACGTGTCTGTTGATTTGATTTTTAACCTGTGCCGAAATATGTTGGATGAAGGTAAAATATGCCTTTAAACCTTACAATATAAACTGAAAACATATTTTTAGCTTCGATTAAATACTTTTTGGTAGATAAAAGTCCCAAAAAGAGCTGCATCGTTTTCAAGAAAATGCAACCACCAAACATTTGTTTAGTTTTTTTTGTAAATATGTCAAAAACAGATTTCTCAAACTGTCAAAATGCCATTAAAAAGCTGAATTTAGGGTATGTTCAATGTATTCATTTGCATTTGGAACTCATCAATAATCGGAACTCATTTGCGCATATGTACGCAAAAAATTATCTTTTGCCTCTCATTTTTGATTTTTGACCCAAATCAGTCATTTGAGGTCAGTGTGAATGCCATATTAACCATATCTTAAGTAATATATAAAAATTTGTGATGAGTTAAAGACAAAATACAGTTTTTCTACATTCATACAGTATTCACTTTAATTAAATTGAATAATTGTTTTTAATACTTTTTAACGTTATATAATATATTTATAAATTTATTTATTACCTTTTTATAATGAAGCTGCTAGCTTCAGTAATTTACATTTAATATATTTCATAATAAGGTTTTCGAAAAGAAGTAAACTACAACGACAAAAATTCTTTTATATTATTTTTAATAGAATTTTTGGCTGACTATATAACTGTTTGATGTTTTTCTAAGAGCAAGAGTGCTTCAACTAAATTCATAAATGCTATTTTCGAAGATGTCGTAAATAAGGGCACGAGTACTAGGGATTGAACTCGTGCCCTGTGAAATTTTAATAAGTAATATTTTTCATTATATTATAAAAAAATTTTAAATAGAAATAAAACATGACTTATAAATTAATTTTTTTTAATTGAACACATTATGCTGGTTCTTGGCTACGCGTACGAATTTTGTAATTTGTTATACCAGTTAAAACAGCTTATTTATTTACGGTATTAGGTGGCAATCTTTTAAATTTGACAGTTGTGAAAGAGGGAGATACCTACTTACCACTTTACAGAACTAACGTCCACATTTACAGAAGCATTTTCTTAGTACTTTTTCATTGAATTTGTTCGCATATAACACATTCTGCAAAAATTTTAGTTTGCATATCTTCAAAAACACATTTAATACACTTTAAATTTTTAACAAGATAGCAACCATTAGTAAAATGAGCAAAAAAGTGGATTACTCTTCTGATAGTGATCAAAGCGATGAAGATTTTTGTCCAGAAAATGCCGGTAACATAGAACAGCTTAGCGAAGAAGATACGGACGATGAAATCGAAGAATCAGAAAACGGTGTGGTATCTGCGAAAAAAGTGAAGAAGTCTAATAAAAATGGTAGTAAAAAGCAAAAAAAAGAAAACACTTCGAATGATGATGATATTGATTCGTCGTCACTAGAAAAAAGAAACACACGCCAAAAAGCTAGTTCCAACAATGCGCAAGAGAAGTCTATCATTGAAAAGGATGCATTAGAATCAGACGATGATGAAAAGTCGCGTACTGATGCGCTTTGGGCTGATTTTCTAAGCGATGTAAAAGTTGTGCCTAAAAAAGAAAAAAGTTCAACAACCGCTATAAGTTCCTCCAAACCAAGTTCAATCTCTAATAAAGCTAAGAGTTCTGTTCAAACAAAGTCCACTGTTGAAGAACCTAAAATAGAAAAGGTAGCTGATGAACCTGTCAAAAAAACACTAACTGAAGTGTTAAACTTTGCTGGTGAGGATGTGGTCGTACAAAAAGAAGTCAGCGCTGATAGTATTAAAGAGAATAGCCGTGGAAGTGGAAGTAAACCAGTAGTTAAAGGCATTAAACGTTTTTCTTCTGGTGGAAGTGGTATAAGTTCCATAATTAATCAAATTGGCAAAAAGAAAAAAATGTCTGTGTTGGAAAAATCGAAGCTAGATTGGAATAGCTACAAACAAGATGAAGGCATTGATGATGAAATAAAAACATTTAACAAGGGCAAAGATGGGTAAGTTAGTTTGTACTGCTAACAAATGAAAAAATAATTACATTTGTATTCGCTTAGATTTTTGGAGCGTCAGGACTTTCTTCAACGAACTGATCTACGGCAGTTTGAAATCGAGAGAAATATACGTCAGTCGCGCCGTAATAATTAAGTTTAAAATATTTTCAAATAATTCTAACTATAGTTTAATTTATAATTATTTTTAAATGCATATAACCTAATATAATTATATGTACAATGATATATATAATATATATATATAAGTGTTTGGAGGTAGCCTTAGTCGAGGCTATATTCAATTAAATTCAAAGATCCAATATCAACATTAATAAAGCACATGTGCATATGCTTTTTATTTCGAATAAAATTTATGTAAATATTCATTTGAAACACATTATTAACCAGAGCGTGTAATCAATAGAATTAAGCTATTATTTAGCAAAAAGTTCTTACGCCAATCAGCTGCTTTCTGAAATTACAACATGATTACTTAATAAGCTCTAAATATTCCATTAGTTTTTTAAGATTTTTTTTAATAAAACATTGTAAGCCATAACATGTTTTTTAAATTTTACAATAGAACTTAAATAGTAACTAAAATAATTTTTTAACCGCTAATAAAAAACTGTATGTTAAACGTTGTTGAAGCAATTTTTAAAAGTTTGGTTTGAAAAGATAATCACTTCGCCGATAAAAAAGTTTATTCTGCCATAAAATTGTAATATTTATTTTATCTCTTAGCTATGAAACATCATATAGTATATAATGTAATAAAGACTATTGTAAAATTAGATTAGTTTTTTAGTTTTTTTAATATAACCACAACGAAGTACCATATAATGCATTTCATACATATAAAATAAAAAAGTTTATTATTTGAATCTGTATTTTAATAAAATTTAACTTAACCGAGCTTAAGATTGATTATTTAACACTAACATTGTTAAGAAGCAACACTCATTCATTTTTGTTAAATTTTTTAATAAATTTTAATACATATTAATATTAAATATACTATATATATTTAATATATTAATGTGTTTAACATTTTAATAAAAACGACTAAGTGTTATTTATTAACAATTTTAATGTTAAATAACTGACGTTAAGCCGGGTTAAATTAAGTTTTATTTTATAAAACAAAATTATATGAATGTCGTAAGGTACTGAGAGGTGAGATATTTTGAACAGTGATTGATTCTTTTATAGCCATTCAATA